TATCTCGATTTAAAAATATTCAGCTTCGAACCAATTTGATTTTCAACCGATTATATGAAATTCGAAACGAAATTTGTTAACGAACTTAAATAACAAACAATAAAATAACAGAAAAGAGAAAAATGAATCGATGATAAATTACGTTATTCGACGAATGATAAAACATAATGATTAATAATTGCGTCAAAATTTATCTTAAGTCAATAATATTTTCACTCACTTAATATTATATAAGAATTTTTATCCGAACCAAGATCAATTGTTTCACGATCGTTAATTGTATTCCAATTATCGTAATTAAGTACATCAAGAAACATCACTGAATTAATATCAATCATATATTCGAGACTGACGTCTGGTCTGAAATAAAAATTAATTTCGATCAATGATGTATTTTTTTTGTGATATAATTTTTAAATGAAGATTAATATGAACAATTGTACACAACTTTGTACGTCATTAATGATTTATTGAATTGAAAAAGAAAAAAAAAAAAGAAAAAGAAAATTCAAGAATCGTAGTTTTATTGTATTGTTCAAATCCGGTTCGCGGCACATACAACGGCGAATACGTAATATACTAATCGCTGTAGTATACTTATCCAGTATTTTTTTCGTTTTGATATTTTATTCTTCCTTTTTTTCTCTTCTTTGAGATCGAAACATGCTTCAATATTTCTACGAATCTTTCCTTTCTGCCTGATTCATGGCATCGACTCGAGCTTGCTTGACCATCAGTTTAGTCTTGAACTGCACGCCACGCGCATTAACAACGTTTATCAACAACGTTTTATCAACAACGTTTTATTTTGTTTTTATTCGTGTCGTTTTTTATTATCAAGGAAATGTGCAACCACATTCTATCGAATGTAATTTTCGTTTCACTTCTTGTCATTCTATCATACGCGATCGACGACGAACTTTACGGTAAATAAATTTTCTATGACAGTATAAATAAATGTGAATGTGTGTATCATTTATATGATTATCTTCGTGCTAAACGATATGTAATCAAAAAAATCAAAATTTGTAATCATCTTGTTTAAGAAGACATTTCGTCATGAATACCGATAGAGTCGGTTTTTATCCAGTTTTTTCTGGAAAAAAATATCTGTTCTCTTTCATGGACTTTGTTTTAAGTTTTATCCACTGAATCTCTAAAAAAAAAAAGAAAGAAAAAACGAAATCTGGATCTCTTCTCTCTCGTGAATTTTGTTGACTAGAATTATGATGAACTGTTTGTTCTTCGTCACAACGATACGTGTATCATTATAACGAATATAACTAGTCTTCATGAATTCCACGATGCAAACAAAATATTTAGATATACCTTACTCGTAGATGTTTCAGATGTGTTTTTTTGTGTGACGTTATAATTGCATCACTATGTATCATAAATTCAATTCTTCTTTTGACAAATTATAACAAATTATATCACGAATCATGTTCGATATTGTGTTACGCTGTATTAAAAAAAAGGACAAATATAAATTTAAAATCCTATATCTTAGTGTACTCACATTTTAGATTAACGTGATAATGTCACAAGGAATAAAACGAATATTCTAATATGTATTTCTTATTTTTCTTTGTTTCTATTAGAAGGGAGTCAATGTACGTTGGAAGATGGTAAAACAGGCATCTGCAAGAAATTAACCGATTGTCCAATGAGAATACGAGAGGTGCAACGAGGCATAAGGCATTCAGCTTCAACGGGAAGATGCGGGTTCTCTAGTTTTATTGAGATCGTTTGTTGTCCTATAATAAATTTCGAAAGAAAAGTGTTGCTTCGTCCGGCTGATATTGGTATGAGCATTTATTATTCAAAAAAATATCGAATGAGTCACACAGAAGGCAATCTAATCAATTCATTAAGATAAAAGCAGATTGAGTCATTATAGGTTATTAAAATTTCAAAAAATAAAATAAAGTTGATCAGTTTGACTTCTGAATGACTTCATGAATGAATACATAATTTAGATTAGAACTTTAATAGTAAAATATTAATTCGAATATTATATTGCGAATCATTAATAAATTTTTATCAAATCTGTTTTTTATAATTATTCTTCGGATGTATCGATAGTTTATTATCAAAGATCGATAGAAGAAGTTTATATTTCGGCGTTATTTTTAGATCTAGAAATGCTTATAACGTGAAAGTTTAATAATTTATGATATAATTGTTGATCATAATATGATGTATAAATTCATATGCCTATCATGTATTTGATATGTGAAAAATGTATGTACACATACACAAATCTGTAGATAATAATTAATGTTTAGAAATACAAAAGTATTAGAATTAGTTCTATCTTTTATTAATTTTCAAAATAGTTTGTTATTATAATTATTTTATAAAATAATATCGTAATTTTTAAACGTTTATTTAAAAAAAAAATGAGAAGAAAATTCAATGAGAATTTATCTTAATATCAAATTTCATATATTTTAATCGAATTTGAAATAAAATACAAAAATGTATAAAAGTATAGTGAAAAAAAATTCATTGACAAAACATCGTTATCATATAATGCATATAAATCAACTGCTACAAAGTGATTTGCATGCCTCATTTAAAATTTAAATAACTGGTCTTTTTTTTAGTTGAAAATTTATGAATAATACGTAAAATAAAATTGTACGTATTATCGAAAAGAATACAGTCTTTTTGAAGAATTTTTTTTGTTACTTATTTAAAGAACCAGCGTCATTTAATGATTTATTTTATTTTTATATTATTATTATTATTATTATTATTATTATTATTATTATTTTTATATTATTTTATATTATATATGATTTATATTATTATTCATATTTAGTTCATGATTTACATTTCTATAGGTCTAAATAATTATTATACATAATTTTATAGCTAAATCATTTTATTCCATTTATTATAATAACACGATTTTCAGCTTGTCAAGAATACGGCAATAATGTAACAACAAAAGATGAAAAAAATTTGTCTCTCCATATATTTAATGGAAAATTGGCTATGTCGAGTGAATTTCCATACGTAGTGGCTTTAGGATATGAAAACGACAACATTTCCGAACCTATCAAATACAGTTGTGGAGGTAGTTTGATATCTTCTCAGTATGTATTGACTGCGGCACATTGTGTCAATAATATAAATGAGAGAATACCAATCGAAGTGAGTATTATTAAAAGATTTGAAACCAAATCAAATTAGCAATCTTCTATTAAACTTTTACGCGTTGTTCCAGGTACGACTAGGAAATGAAGATATACAAAGTATCGAATCTAACGTGCAACGAATTCCGATAAGTGACATAATATATCATCCAAAGTATAAACGCAGTACACAATATAACGATGTCGCTATTTTGAGGCTGAAAACGAAGATACAGATTTCGAAAACGACTAAACCAATTTGTCTTCAAACTAAATCCTTAAGATCATTGAAGATAACACCGAGAACATCTTTAATAGTGATTGGATGGGGCGCTACGAGTTTCGATGCCGAGAATTCTGTCAAATTGAGGAAGACGCCTAGTCTCAGGTGAAGCAAAATTATCTCTAATAATTTTTAATCAAAATTCTATATAATAATTTCTAATCTAAATTACGAAATTTAAGATAGACTTGTCTTCTAAACATTTTTGCATATTGTCTTTATTCGATTTAAATTTAAATTATTAAAATTATAATGAAACTTTTTTATTTATAATATTTGTTTCAAATATCACAGCATTGTGAGTAGAGAAGAATGCGAGAAACACTACGTAGGGCATCCAAGATTACCTAATGGCATCGACGACAATTTCATTTGTGCTATAGACAATAATGCCAGTCGAAGGGCGGATGCTTGTCAAGGAGACAGTGGAGGTCCATTGTTAATGATGACCGAAAAAGGTGATAGCGTAATTGGAATCACAGCTTTCGGTAATACTTGTGGTTCACCTGCCCCGGGTGTTTACACCGCGATTTATTCCTATTTAGATTGGATCGAGGAACATGTTTGGACGAATAAAAATGAGAAAAAAAATATGGTGAAGACAGAATTTTTCAACATTACGATCACGTTCTAGTGAAATACACTTTACATGTGTTTGCCAATACGTATCTCAGGTAATGATCTCTAAGTAATGGAATTCGATTATATCATGGAGATTATTTTGTATTACGAGTTCTGTTAGATGATCATACGTGACATCGCAGATGATTAATGAACTGTCATAGATAAAAGGAAAAAAAAAAAAAAGACGAGAAAAGGGGATAAACATTAACAAAACCCTCTTTTATTTATTCACATTCTGTACAAATAGTATTTTACATAATGTCTGATAATATCTATTTACCAACTCGAGTATTGACCGGTAATGTGTGATAAGCATCGATTTGAATACTCATTAAAAACAAAGTTCAATTAAAAAATAATAGAATATTGAAATAAAGAGATAGACATCGTTGTTCAATGTTATTACGAATCGATCATATTATTTTATTTTAGAAAACGGATGAAACGAAAAAAAAAAAAATTGTTAAACTGATATAAAACTATAAAAAAAAAAGATTTTACAAACGATTCATTTACGTTTAACAAGGGCCTCGTATCTTCGAAGTTATTACTTTTTAAGATAAGATGCAAAAAAACATACCAGCACCAAGATTTAAAGCGATTCCAAGTAATCTACGATATAAGTTTCCACGTTTTCCTCATAATGATTAAAATTTTGTAAACCACAAAAACCATATCAACGCATATAAGATATATCCATGTCTCGCGTGGAGGGTAAGTTGTCGGATTTATCATAGAACATCGAAATCCTTATTTATTCAACAAAGGGTGTACAACGAATATGATACAAGTGTACGCGATATGCGATGTAATACTGTTAACGATCAGGTGCAATTAGTAGATATATAATTAATTTACAGTCTAACGAACGAGTTCCAAAGAATTTCATTATTCCCACGGTCTGTCCGTGACGCACGATTCAAGCGAAATTAATCGGGAGTCGTTTCGTCGTTCATCAACTAACCGTAACTTCTTATCTTTTATTCTTTGAAAAGATTCCGTGCGTTAAAGAAGAGATATTTCCATCGTATAGTAAACGTATTGTATTCCCATCACCATCTAAAAAAAATCTTCCAATTTCGTAATTGAAATTTAACTTTCTTTCGTCGAACCGAAAAAATTGACGGAGCAAAAATAATCCAAAATACAAGATTAGAGAAGAAAAAGAAGATCGATCAAGAATTATCTAATAGCATCTATAGTCCGTTCAAAATCGATCAACCGTTCAAAATTATCATCGGGACAAATATATTTTTGAACGATCGATCGATTTCAAACGAACCAATACGATATAGCAACAAGAATAATCTAAAAAAAAAAAAAAAAAAAAAAAAAAAAACAAAAAAAAACAAATAACTAAAAAAAAAAAAAAAAAAAAAAAAAAAAACAAAAAAAAACAAATAACTAAAAAAAAAAAAAAAAAAAAAAAAAAAAAGACACGAATGAATTTATCTTCTTCGAAGCCTGTCCACGCTAAAACGACCCTCGCCACAATTGTATCTTACAATTTCACCCCCATTTAGTGGCTATAGTGTACAACGATCTAAGAAGTTCAAGCGCCCTATTGTCAGACGCGAAGCTCTCGTCCTCCTGGAGGGAATTATTCTCGTCCGATACCGTCCCCTTCTCCGATCGTCTCGCTACATTCGCCGAATTTTCCGTGGTCGAGCGAAATTTCCGGCTCTTCCTACTCCTGAACGTGGTCACAGGCGGCTCGGTAATCAACGGCGCGGTCGAGCCGCTTCTCGCGTAATTAACCGGCTTAACGGCGGGCAGATTGAGCTGATTAATCTCGGCCACCACGTTTTTCGACTCCTCGGACGAGAATTCGTTCACGGGCAATCTGAGCAGCGCGTTCAACAGCTCCTCCTTCTCCCGTTGCAACGTGTTGTTCGCCGGATCGTTGCAATGCCGTATCAAAAGGAGGACAAGTTGTCGAACTGTCTCGTTATTATCCGCCTGTTTCATCACCCTCATCAACGTATCGGTGCTCGAAGCGTTTAACTTGCCGAACAATTTCTCCGCAATTTCGTTCTCCGTCCCGTTCGACTTGGCCGTGTAAGGAAGCAAAGTCACCAACCCACCCTGTTGGCCAGCCAACGATTTCGTCGACGTGATGGAGGACGTTATCGTGGTAGTGATGCTGGATCGCGTGGTGATCAACGGCTTCGGCGTCACGGTGTTCTCCGTGAACGAAGTTGGAAGCAGGGAGAAGGTGGTCGGCGAATCCTTGTCCCTGGACGATCTTTGCACCGACGTATCCTCGTCCGTGAACGACGACTCCTCCGAACTGGTCAACGTATCGTCATCGAAGGAAGGCGTGTATTCTATCCTCTCTCGACTGTCCGTGACGCTGAACTGCGTTCCCGTTGACACCGTCGATTCGAGATCCGACTCCAAGTCGTAGTTGATCCTTTGAGGATCGACGAACACGGAGGTCTCCCACAGATGAGTGACAGCCGGTGACGAGGTCCAATGATCGTTGTCCAATACCTTGGATTCTTCCTTCTTGCGATTCGTGGCTTCGAACGTGTCGTTAGAATCGTTGGCGTAAAACGTTGTGGTCTCGACGCTGGATACAGTTGTTGTTACGGGGAATTCGGTTAGAAGGGTTGTCGTAGGCGTCGTTCTCTCGGTTGTCTCGATATTATACTCGTCCACGCGATTGTAAAGATTCCTGAATTTCGTGTAACTGTTTCGCGACGTTGGCAGGGAAATTCCAACTTTCGCCTCGGTCAACAAAGATTTTTGTCGAGGAATTTTGAAGGGTTGCTCGGTCGACGTCTCGTAATTCTTGGTCGAGGCGAGGGTGGTGGCGCGTACGTTGTGCGTCGATGTCGATGTGCTGGGATAATTCTCGGGCCTCAGAGACGCGGGAATATTATCGTTTCCCTTTCGAATCGCTTGGGAACGAGCGTCGAAGAACGGAGGACTCAGTTGTTGCTCGGGCTTTTTGCTCGTCGATTTCTTGTTCCAATTGTAGGTAACCATGTGCACGAACATCGATGGCGACAAAGGCGTGGGTGAGACGACGTAATTATCGCTTATGGGGGTGGTGACGAACGATATTTTATCCGTGTACGGTTCGGCGATTGTCGTGGCGCTGTTATTTTGAAAACCCCCGACTCGATTCTGGCTCTCGTCGGAAGAAGGAAGATGGCCCTCCGTTGGCTCGACGCTTCCTTTGTCTATCTCGTTATTCCGATTGTAGAATCCGCTCGTGTACGGTGTGCTGTTCGCCTCTGCTGTAAACTCTGTGCTCTCTGTTGGTGGCGTGGAACTCTCGAAATAGTTACTAGAGACGGGACTCAACGATATCAAGTTCGTACTATATTCGAAGAAATCTTGGGCAGATGTTCTGGGCGTAGTGTAATAGGTACTTGGCAACGTGCTCAAGGTCTCGTAAACATTCTCTTGTACCGTGGTGCTGGGTAGCTCGAAAGTAGTGGGATAAGTGGTGGTCAATTTCTGTCTGATATCGTTGCTGTCGTCGGAGAAATCTAAAACCTCGTCCTTTTCCCTGTCCAATGAACCGTCGTCTTCCTCCTCCTCCTCCTGGGGATAAGGGGTGGTGGTGGTACCCCATAAATCCGTTTCCAACGTAGTTCGAGATGGTTCGGTGGGTCTGATCTCGGTCAACACCTTTTTGAACGTGTCCGGATCCAACAGATACGCGGACAAAGCATGGGTGAACACTTGTGCCAATTCTCGAAGCCTGGTACCGTTCGACTTTCGAAGATCGTCCAATGATCCTCCGCTTTGTTGAAGCTCCAGATCATCGTCCTCTCCTGCGTAACTTTTATCCGGACGATCTCCCGTGATCGTCGCGTTATCGATCTCCGCACCGTCGTCCTTCAATTTGAACAATTCCGTGTACGAATCGATGGTATGTCGGGTAAGAAGGCTGGTCGGCACTCGCACCGTTCCGTCACTTTTTTTCGAAAGTATCGATCTCTGTATATCGTCGGCTGCCGATTCTATGCTCAAAGACGAGTCCGTAGTCTCGTTGGAATTGAAGTTCTCGGTAGCCGTGGAAAAGTAGAGCGCCAAAGAGTGTAAGGTGGACGGGTCGGGGGGAACGGAAACATTGGTCGCCCTCTCGCCTCCTTTGAACGCGTCGGACAGACCGGGCACGCTGTGCTCCAGATTCTTCAAGGAATGGAGCATGCTTAACACGTGCTCCCTCTCGGAGGATCCGTTCGTCTTGCTTTTACTCGACGACGTCGGTGTAGGATATTTCGATTTCGGCGTGGAAGTTTTCGTGGTGTAGGTAGGCACCGTGGGAGTGTAGAGGGTGGGTCTCGAGGTGGTGCTGGTTGCCGACGTGTACGCGTAATTCCTGGTGAACGGAACGTAAGGACCCAGAGTGGACATCACTTTGCCCTGTTTGTACGTGAAACTTCTATCGTAAGGGCTCAGATCTTTCCCCGTATTTTCTTGATAAATCGACGTGGTCTTGAACGGTTTCTCAGTGGTCGTGGTGCTGCTGATCAAGTTTTGTCGATAACCCGGCGAAATCGTGGAAGGGTTCTTCCCGCTCGGTTTCGTATCGCTGTTCAACCCATTGGACCGATTATCGATCACCGGCCTCTCCGTGCCACGTGCAAAATTATTGCTACGAAAAGACGCGGTCGACGTAGGCGACTGGTAATAACCGGTAGTCGTATACCTCTGTTGCGGAGAGCTCGTCGGTGTCACGGTGGTTTCACGATACGTATCCGTGGTCGCGTATGAACGAGCGGTCGAAGGAATCGTTCCTATATTAACCGCTCTGTTAGATTCCCTGTTATTGTTAATATTGTAGTAATTTTTATCGACGAAGCTGCTTCGAACGTTACTTCCTACAATCCTCTGGCTTCCACGATACTCGTAGTTGGTATTGGCAAATCGAAGGGATTCGGTTGGTCGAGTGTCGAAATTGGCAAACGAGTTTGTCGAGAAGCTACTCTCGGTGGCGATCTCGTCGTTGTAGGGAACAGTGGTCGCTGTGGGTGTCGGGTATTGGGTGGTCGTCTCGTAATAGTCACGCGTGGAAGTTCCTGGGAACGAGTGATCGTTCCTCCTCGTGGACACGTCGTTTTCGTTGTCCTGCCTCGAAGTGGTCGGATCGTAATTAGGATTTCTCGTGGTAGAATCCCCCCTATTGATATACAATTGATAGTAATAGTGATGCGTGTTTCCAGTGTTCTCGTTGAATCGATTCCCACGATTCCCAACGAAAGCCGCGCTTTCAGCAAATTGCTGGGATTCTTTCACAGGGCTGGTATTGCTTCCTCTGAACGTGGTCGACTCGGTATAAGCCGGAGTCACCCTTTGGGAAACGGTAGAGGTTGAATTACCTCTCAATCCTTTCAACTTCAATCTCTTCAGAGTTCCTTTATCGTCCCGTTGGGCATTCGAGTTTCTATTGGTCACGTAGTAATTTTGTGTCTTTTTCGAGGCTGTGTAATAATCTTGATTCGTGGTCGAATACCTATTCACGTTCCCTTCCTCGGTATTCCTTGTAAATTGATCGAATTGTTGCTTCAAGTTGGACGGTTGATTCGACGATTGAAACCCATTAACACCGAACAATCGATCGTTGTCTCTTTGCGCGTTCGATTCCCGGTTGAAATTATTGGCGGAGTCAAAGTGACGGGAGGATTTCACCCTTTCTCTGTTCGATTGCAGCTGGTTCTCTTGGGGAGGCTCCTCGTAAGGTTTGATCCTTCCGTTCTGTTTACCGTCGTAGCTGAGATTTTGCACGTCGTAGTAATCGTCTTGTTGGCCGCGATCTTGTTGCTCGATCGATTGTTGATAGTCGAATTTCGATTTCTTTCGACTCGTCTCGGCTCGTCTTCTTTCCTCCTCGAATAGCTGCTCGCTGCTTTGCTCGTACAGCTCGGTGGATTTGCTACAGTCCACCTTGAACCACCAATCGCAAATCAACTGCGATTGCTGAAAGATGGTACCGTTGGGACAGAGGAACGATATCTTCCGGCCATTGTCGCAGATGTGGAATACCTGAACAGAAAGAGCTTCATTCACGATTCATCGCAATTGTTCTTTTTTTTTTTTTTTTTTTTTCATTATTTTCAAAGTAAATTTAATTTCTAATTCAAAAAATTTAAAAGGGTTTACCCCTTTTTTAAGGAATATATTGTTTTTTTTTTTTTTTTTTTTTTTTTTTTTCATTATTTTCAAAGTAAATTTAATTTCTAATTCAAAAAATTTAAAAGGGTTTACCCCTTTTTTAAGGAATATATTGTTTTTTTTTTTTTTTTTTTTTTTTTTTTTCTAGGTGAAAGTTTGATATACTCTAAGAAGTTTTAAACGCTCTATTCATCGTTTGCTCGATTACGATATTCACGAAACAAACGCATTTCGCGATTTCGTAACGTGGAATCCCGCGTTTGATTAAAATAATTACGTTGCTGCAAGATATATATTAAGCTGTTCGTTACTCACTTGACAATTTGTCTCCAAGTCCGCGTAGTAACCACCTTTCAGGCCGCGACAGCTGAACGAAGTGGTTGGAATTGTCGTGAGTGCTGGAAAGTCTACTCCGGGCTGTCCTGTCACGCCTAAATTAAAAGAGCAAGATCTCATTGTACACAACTTGATCGTCTCGTTTTTTTTTTTTTTTTTTCGAAAAAAAAAAAGAATTCGCTGACGTTTAATCTCTCAGCAGGAAATATAGGAACATTTTTTTTCATTCATTCATTTGTTGGCTCTCGTGCAAGCTAAATATTTTTCATGCAACCGAGGTATTCTCTACGAATTGTAAGAATAATATTCATTTCGTTCAAAGAAAAATTATTATTATTATTATTATTATTATTCGGTTTAAATTCGAAAAAGATACATAGAAAATGATCGATTTGAAATATATGATATATTCTCGTTCGAATTATAGTTAAAATTAAAATTATCGTTATACAAATATATCGATAATAATACATCGAGTTTAAGTTTAAATCGATATCAATATTCAAGAATTCGCGATCTCGTTTCATTTTCTATCGAGCGATATTAATTTCCTGATCCATGTTATTAGTTGTCACGTTGATAGGTTTAAAATAAAAAGTAATAACTAACTGAATGCATGCGCTTTATTCTACTTGGATAGAGGAAGCTGGAAGAGAAAGCGGCTGTTGTGTACTTATGCAGTATTATTAATAATACCCGCTCCTTTGAGCCATTCCTTGAGAAGATCCACATTTCCGAAGAAGACTGGGAAAGAAAGGCGAAGAAAGTACTTTAGAGATGGAACGGAAGAGAGTGTAAATTGCGTACATTTAGGCGTTAGTAAGAGTATTGGTTAGGAACCTTGATAAATTTGGTACTCGCCATTCTTCTCCGGTGCCAATCTTTTCACTATTTTTCTCAACGATTCTTCGTTCTCCAACGATGCTTCTAGGCTTGATAAATCCAACTCTGACGGGAACTTGGACAAATTTACCTTCTTGTTACTATTTTCTGACTAGAAATTTACGAATTTAATTTGTAGTAAAAATAGATAATATAGTAGTTGAAATGGTGATTTTTTTTTTTTAATAGTAATAGTTTTCAAAGGAGAAATGAAGAATTGCAATTTTGTCCTATTATATAATCGTGATAATATAAAAAAAGAGAGGTAAATAAATAGTTGAATAATTTTATAATTAAATATACATGTTTACAGGATAAATGCGTTAATGAAAAATCATAATCACCTCTGTTTCGCAATTGCTGACCATAAAAGTGATCATTGAACCTGTAAAACCGAATAACGTAAGCATCATCGTTTTAAAAATCGATGAAATTTATATTTCATTGAAAATGATATTTCATTTCATTGTTTAATATTCAAACAACGCTAACGTAATATTTATTCTATAGATCAAATATAATGTAAAAAGAAGAAAAGACTCTACTCATACTTACATAAAAATATGATTATTTCAAGACATGCCATTCTGGATAAATTTTTGTGCACGATTCTGAAACAAAATACAAAAAAAAACTTGACATTTTTATATTATTACATTTCTTTTATTAATATATTTTCATAATACAAATCTAGTATCTTATAATGTTCGAATAATTATTATCATTTTGTACGTAATATAGATAAAAGTTACACGAAAAATATTGATTAATACGCATTTAAATATTGAACAATAATGTACAAAGGAATGAAAATGTAAAACATAAATTTTTCAATGAAAAAAAAGTCATCTGCCGAAACCCGGGATCGAACCAGGGACATTTAGATCTTCAGTCTAACGCTCTCCCAACTGAGCTATTTCGGCTTCTGAAGGAACGCTTCTCTATATTAAATAACAAGCATTCATTCGTTTATTTCGATCAATAAACTAAAGTATTTTTAAAAGTTATTCTTAAATTTAAATTGATCATTTAAATTGAATAAATATTATAAATTGAATCTTTTATATCCAATTAAAAAATAATTTTAATAAGAAACATTCACATAAAACAAAACTTCAGCGAAGAGATGACATTTAATCGTTTATACCTCGTAACGTAAGCATCCCATGAACTATTAATAAATAAAATACCAAGAACTTTGCTCAATCACGATAATAATCTCTTAAGATTTATGCGGTAACATATTTTATAATTACTCATCCTCCTGATAATAAAAAATTTATAATAGCTTTGTTAAATCTTCAACATAGTGATAATGAAATTCATTACAAAATATATAGAAAATATACGAGCAAAGTAGATACTTGATTAAAAATGTATTCAAATTATAATAATAATTATATATTTACATAACTACATAATATATTGTAACGTATTAATAATTCATATTTGTATTAATCGCATTGAATTTATAATCATATGTAAATAGTTTATCGAACACGAATCACTTGAAACAAAATATCGATTGCTGCTTGAACTTGCGATCAATAATCGGATACTATACATTCATCATTTTTTAAATTATCTCTTTCTCAATGAATATTCGGAAAAATTAATCGGCCGTTCTCTTCGCGTGAAAAATAAAAAGAGAGAAATAACGAATAAAAAAAAAAAAAAGGAAATAAAATTCATCACGATTCCTCCTTCGTGATTCACAATCACCCACGTTGATCGTGCATACACGTCAATCAGTGATAAACGGCCGACTCGAGTTTACCGAGAAAAGACGTTCGGATTCGATCGCGATAATAAAACCGGCAAAGGACTCGCTTGAGAACGTTGCCCCGTGATTACCCGTGAAATCGATTATCCTAATCAAATCCCTGGCCGTGGTAATGGGGTTTCCATTATATTACAATGATCCACGATGAGTATAAACGATCGGCCCGATGTCCGTGGCTCAGTGACATTCAACAATCGACAACATGAAAGCGAGTCAACCTCGTTGTCGGAAGAAACAAATAGCCGTATCGTCTTCGTTCCTACCTTCCTTTTCTTTCTCCCTTTCTTCTTTTCCTTCTTCTTTTTCTTTGTCGTCGTGACGTGTGACGCAACCCTGAAGACGAGTAGAGAATATCTTGTTCATTCTCACGGTTCACCGATTCACCGGACTTTCAAAATGATTACGGTAGTCATTAAGTTGCCTGTTGGCATTTGATGCGACGCGCAATTTATGGCTAATCCTTTGGGCAAACCGCGATGAGTATTATAATGACGTACTTTCACTCTCTCTCTCTCTCAGGAGTCCGCGACCGATACGAACCTCTCGTTGTCATTTTACTCGTCTATACTCGACCCTCCTGGATTATTGTCTTATTTCCGTTGATTGATATCGATCGTTCGACGATCAGCAAGGGGTACACGACTACGTTGTCGAGCAACGATCACGATTTTTTTTAATGGTTTCTTCCCGACGATATCAGCTACACAATACCTGCGCGAGAACCGGAGAGATTTTTTTCTTTCTTTTTTTTTTCGATCCATTCGCACGACGTATACATATGTATGCGTCTAACAAGCTTACAAGGGTTGCAGTTTCGATTTCAATTAGTGCCATTCTTTTCTCGATACCTGGGAGTCGTGTTAACGAAATTTTTCCTTTCTTTTTTCGTCGCCTACCATGTAAAAGGATTTACAAAATAATTTGCACATGTTTCGCGAGATTTTTAATGAAAGGACTCGAAGCATAAATCTCCATTTCGATAAAGATGTATCCCTCGCGTGATAATTCCTCGCAATTATCATAATCTTGATCTTGAAAAATTTGATGGATATAAATTTGATTTCTCGCTTAATAAGGGATACTATTTCGAGTTTCTAGCAATCGGTCCCAAAGGCATCGCTGGTTGGAGAAGGGAAGCTTACGGACACAGGGCCCGGGCGGATAGCGCGATGTTGAAACAATAGCCGGCAGATAGCGAAATAAAACTTGGCGTCTTAACGAGCGCGTACTCGCATACGTACCGCCTTCCTCTTTTGTAATGCTAATTCAAAGGAGGCAATTATTTCAGGAGTAACCGGTAACCTTCTAGTTTCTCGAACGACACCGACCGTTCGGTGGTATCGTCCTTAGTAACCGAGGAGAGGATACGCGCGAAAGTCACCCAGATTCCACTCCAGAACAAAATTATCACGAAGAATCAATGGAAATCCTCGTTTCGATTCGTTCATTTTTATTACTACGTATTTTAACACATTCTTTCATATTTATTTTTTTCACATTCGCGTTTCTTTTTCGACAATTATGCATCGATATGTTTTGGATTTATATTTATATTGTAAATTTGAATGGATATTTTAGGAAGAGGAAAAATTCTTTCGCCAACTCCACTTTCTGATTAATTAAAAGGAAGGTGGGTTAAATGTAGATAGCATATCGATAATATTAGTATTATTATTATCGGATTTGTAATGGTGATTAAACAATGGGGAGCAACGGTTCCTTTCATTGAGTCACACGTTCCTTTCCGGTTATTTTGTTCACCTTTGCACGCTCGAAATCTAACGAGGCGATACGGGAGAGCATCGTGTTAAGGTAACAATCGAATGAACGAATCGAGTCGCCAGATATTATCGCAAACACAGGCTGCGTGTTGCGTGAAACAGATTACTTTTCTTAACGAAGTTGAATCGAGAAAGTCGAGAGATAGATCGTAAGCTGGTCAAAGAGACGAGAAACGACTCGATTGAACGAATAAATTTCGTGAAACAATTATACAAAGTCAATACAAGTAGAAAATTATGCGAATTGTGGAATTGTAAAAAGTTGAATGAAAATATATTCCTTATTTGTATTAAATATTATACTTGTTTCATAAAGTTTTTACTCTGTATCTAATTTTATTAATTTTATAAAAAATGTTGCACGAGTAATTATCTTGATTAACTGATTATATACGATCATCTCATAGAGGAAATTATTCAAAGAAACTTGCAAGAAACCGATATAAATCGTTAATTATAGATCGTTTTAACGATCGAGTTAAAATGATTTTTTCAAATTTCAAGTTGTTATTAAAATTGGAAGAATTTTGGAAAAGGATATTTTCTTAATAATGTCAAGAAAAAATAGATTTTTATCGAGTATTTTATCGCGATAGAAAATGTCTTTGGCGTTCATTGTTTAGACTATTTGTAAAATTGAAACAGGCAATGAGATCTTTCTCCTCTCTGTCATTCGTTCAGCTTCGTTGAGGCGAATAATGGGGAAGATAATTACATGAATCAGCCGTAACATTTTTCGAAGCATTTTGTTATAGTGTAAAAGAAGAAATTTTCCCTTCCATTTAGGATTCCGGAAGATAAAAGTAACCATTAACTTCGTTTCTTTCTTTATTTCTTCTTTGTGCCGATACAGTCGTTAAAATTTAAAAAAAGAAAATCTGCATTTCTTATGAAACAAATTGGAATTTTTTTCAAAGATGAAGCGATTACATCTCTTTGTCTTCTATTTATTATTAAAAGAATTTGATATCTTTCTCTTACCGACCTTATCAAGGAAAACGTCGTGTTTTTTTGAAGTTTTTTTCCCATGTGTGCGTACCACCTTACGTAAAGCATTGTATTCATTATGGGAGAGTTCTTGTAACCGGTTGTTTCTTTCGTGACTGAGTTTTGGTGTTATAATCCTTTCATACCAAGCTATTTGTTTTCGTGCCTTCTCTCATCCTCCTCTTTCATCCCGATAATACGAGAAGATATTTCGACCATCACTCGAGATTTTGCGAATGTAAATAAAAAAATATTTGCAGAAGATGTAAACGTAGAGGAAACAGAGATGAAGTAATCGACCGAAATTATCCACCTTTTGTCTTCGCTCCACTTTCACGAAATTAATGTTTCACACTACGTCAATCCTCATCTAATTCTGTGACAAATTTCCCACCAATTATAGTTCATTGACTTGTCTATCTTACATATATATATATATATACACGAATCGAACAAGATTCTCAAAAATATCCAATCCATAATCCCCCTTTCGTTAATTAACTTTTATTCGAATCCATTACTTCGTTAAAAAATAATCTTCGAAGATCTTTGGAAAATATTTGCGAAACGTTTGTATATAATAAATCAACGTTGATTATTGCACGTTGCACGCTTTGCGAAAAGGAAAAAAAAAAAAAAAAAAATCTCCTTTCCTCGAGTCCTCGTACGTTTACGTGCGTTATGAGAACACGCGGGGCATGTTTTCGGTTCAGGAAATACCTGAACGCTCGAGATCGTTATAGAGCGGCATCTTATGAAACATCCTGTTCACGAATATACGTATGTCCGACACGTACGAGGAGACTTTCGGTCGTACTTTTCAAGAGAAGCGGAGAGAAGCGGAAGCGGTACATCTCTTACCGTCGCAGCGCAACACCGGTTTATCGGTTGTCGGTGTTGACCCTCGAGCCACACGCTTCAATCCACCGCCCGCGTTTAAGATCCGAACCGAGGAGGAAAGGTCATTTCGGGCCAGTCACCGACGCCTTTGCCGGCGAGGAAGATCGGCGAGATATCTCAAGAACGAATCTGATTAGCCGGGTCCCCCCGTGGCAAGAGATGTTAGAAAGCGGCGAGCGGCGACCACGGCAAACGATATTGAGCCACGTCGAGGAACGAGCTGCGAATCTTCCGTGGCGGATCTCGACACGATCTCCCCTCAGTGCGTTTTCGTCGCAATCCAATACGACCACGATTTAAGCAAGAATCGTGTCGTTGCAACCATCGGTCGGGCAACTATCAACCGGGAATTTTATTCGTGCTTGCCGTGTAATTTTCCACGAGATTGTCGCACGAAAAGAGGAGAGAAATGTCGAAATAATAAATGCGCCATGATTATCTATAGCCGGAGAAACGTTTCTTATTTCGTCGATAATAATAAATAGTTGAGAGGGAGAAGGAGAGAGAGAAATAGCTTTGGAAGAGATATCTCCAGGTCTCTATGGTTTTAGAGATTGCTCCTTCGGATGGATCGTTTATCGTTGCAATCGTCGCAGATTTCGTAGATTTATATTTTCGTAAGTTAATGATACGTCTAGTAGATGGAAAGAAATAATATTGAGTTTAGTAGTAGAAATTTTGATACAAACAAATCGAGTCTTCAAATAGATTTAAAATTAAGATTCAGATAGTTATAATAATATGGTCTTAAATTTTATGCAATTTTATGCACAGGAAAAGTAATGGTGATTCTTATTGGAAATGGAGACATATCGCTTTAATCTCTCAACCGTGATTCGAAAAGATACGGAAATACAATGGCCATATATAATTTTTCTCTGTTTAATATTTATAGATATATTATTATTATCCTTTTCTGGCCTTAATAAACTCGTTCTGAGAGAAGAGGTTAATCAAGTTTGAATAATTGCTGCACGAATAGTAGTAATATATATATATCTAATTTCAAAATATAATATGATAATTTAACATCAAAGACAAGGTAGTGTTAATGCACTTGATTACTCGAGTGCGTTGCGCATCACCAGCAAAGACGGAAGCGCAACGAACGAGTGACTTATACGATTTATCGAGGAGACGTTGATCCGGAAGACGAGCCCACTTTCGCCAGTAGAACAGTAGTGTGTTAGTCTATCTACGACCTCGCAGGACAACCAACTCCGCTTCACACATGCGATTGCGACTCTTTTCACGACTTCTCTTCTTTCGGAAGACACAGCGAAGAAACAGCGAATTGTTCTCTCGCGTAACGTACGAACAGCCCTCCTCTGGTGGAGGAAGGGTTGTAGAGGAACTATGACATAAGTGAAATTACGAGCACACGTGCTGTACACACCTGATATATACTACACGGCCAGCAGACACTTTCTGTTGATTCTATCGCGCTTTTGCTTCGCGCTATTATCCATTAACGGACGTAATCATAAAATAATGAGGACGATTTTCTAGGATACTTATGAAATATTATATCCAGTGAAAAAAAAAAAAAACTGTTGTTGTTCGAACGGGAGATTGGAGAGGAAACGAAAGAGATTCTTATTCTTCGCTATTTACGTCGATTTCTTCCCTATTTTCGATCTTAATTAATTATCAGACGACTTTTTTCGATTACTCTATCCTATAAAGAAATAGAATTATTCGTTATATCCTAAGAAATGTAATTTATCGCGTTGAGTATGTTTAAGATGAAAGATGGATAAACAAGATGAAAACAAGTTTCCGTATCGATTAAAAATTTTTATTTTATGCATGAAATTTATTTCACATAACAAGATACATTGTTTTCCCAACGAATACTGCTACTTTCTACGTAATACACGTAACAATTCAATTAATTTCTCAGGAACGTAAAACGTTACGTCTTCGAATGCTAATTCATCTCTATCTACGTTGAGCATAGTAATGCATCTTACGTTATTAATCTGTAATCACGGCTTTCTCCGCGAAGCGGCTAATATATAATATAACAAGGGGAGAAAAAAAGAAAAAAGAGATAGATTTAATTTTACGTGCGTGGAAACCGGAACTCGGAAGCGTGTATTTCGTGAATTTATAGGTTGTGACGTGCGTGACGTTACAGAGATAGAGTCTGTGCAAGTGTGCTCCATCGTGAGATACAACGCAATGTCGACCATGGGAACCTTTTTTCTTTATGTTTAATTAATACACAGTCATAATTATATTGTTCGACGGAGTCATATTGTTTTAGTATTTATAAGCCGATGTTTACGTCATGCTAGTAGTGTCACGAAAAATGGGTCAGTACTGAAAAAAAGAAACGTTAAATTTTTTAATTTCATATCGATGGAATAAATATTTATCGACGAAATTTTATTCATTTTTACTTGGGAAAAATATAAACTTACCTGTCGCAAAAAAAAAAAAAATAAGGATCAAAATAATTGAAATCATTGTAAAAATAAGAAAAAATATTCGGACGGATTATTTTAACAAACTGCACAACTCTGATAAATTGTGCCCAATTTAATAAACTCTGAACTTTGGAAATTTTCGTGCAAATAATTTTGTTATAATTAATTAAGACTGTAACAGACGCGTATCGATATTGCCCTAATTATGGATCGAAAGCATACCTTCCTCATTCTTCGCCAGGTACTGATAAACTTCCTATCGGTCTTTCTGCACAGAACAACAAAGTTTTCATTCCTACGCTCTACCGTAGGAGAATATCAATGAAAGCGGGAAACAAAAGGGGAAGTCTCGGTGAATCGGATTAACGACAATAGAGGAATAGAGGACAGGCGAGGGGGATGATTTCAAACTTTTTTTAATCCGTTAATCTTTTTTTTATACTATCAATATCGTATATTTTTTTTTTTATAATTTAGCGGTACATCTTTTTTTTTTAAATACGCATTCAACGTTCTTCAATATCAATGATGCGTTCGAATTCCAAAAAAATAAGAGTTTTTGTGCGTTTCACAATCGAGGAACATACCGCACTATTTTTTTTTTTTTTTTTTTTTTTTTCCCCCTTTTTTTTTTTTTTTTTTTTTTTTTTTCCCCTTCTTTTTTTTTTTTTTTTTTTTTTTTTTTTTTTTTTCAAATTTTACGTTCCTTATAATATACATAACATCTGCAATGATATATATACATTGTATTGTATACATATAATATTCGTTATTGCTCTCGCAAAACTAAGATTTTGACCGAGTTTGGATCTACGAATGGCTCGATTAAAGGATACGATCGAAGAAAGTATAAACGATTGTAAATATAAAACGTTCTACGATAAAATCGGTCACAAGTACGACGAATAAGAATAAAAATGAAATTGATAATAGATAAACGCTAAAATTCAATAAAACGATCTTGATATCATCTATACAAATACATCTGCTGTACATACATAAATTATAGAACAATCTATTCGTATATCAGGTATGGTCACAGTATGGTAATAGTTTGCTACGATTGTACTTATCACTTGTTATCACCGTCTAAATTATATATCACTTCGTACTTTCTAAATTCAGAAGCGTAAAAACGTAAACAACACCGTAAAACATTAACGAGCTATCTTATCCTATACTATAATATATACTTAAAAAAAAAAAAAAAAAAAAAAAAAAAAAAAAAAAAAAAA